ATGCAAATGAGGCTCACCCACTCCCTTGGCCACTTGCCACTGCTCCTACCGGCCGCCCGCCAGCCACTCCCTCCAGCCACCCCATCCATGCTGCTGTGGGTGCCAGTGTCTCACCACACTGTGAAATCAGACCAGAGATGGACACTATCAGTAAACACTCATATCGGAAACGCCCCTCTGGATGCTGGGCCCACCAGAGCTGTGTGCCCCTGCCATCTGCCTGCTCCGTGGACATCTTCCCATTGCAGAGTGTGCGCCGAGCCAGACTGTGACTAGACAGCCCCTCTCTGGGCACCCAGGGGCTACCTCTACACTGCAGGCTTCTTGCTCAAGAATGGCCGTTCTTGCGCAAAAACTTGAGAAGCATCTACACTGCACGCGTGTTCTTGCACAAGTAAATTTATGGCAAAACATAGGAAAAGAGGGCTTCTTAGGCAAAAGTTATTCCTTTCCCCATGAGGAATAAATCCTCTTGTTCAAGAGCTCTTACACAAGAAGGTAGTATGAATGGGGAACAGGGCTTTTTGTGCAAGAAACCTCTGTGGCTAAAATGGTCATCAGAGATTTCTTGCACAAGAGAGCGTGCACACTGCCACAGACATTCTTGTGCAAAAGCACATGGCAGTGTGTACGTGCTAGTACACAAGACGTTTTGCGCAAGAACTCTTGCACAAAACAGTTCTTGTGTAATAGCCTGCGGGGTAGATGTAGCCAAGGGGTGTTTGAGTTTGTTACCAGCACTGAGCTTTGTACAACAGCCCAGGGAATACTGTGAAAAGCCAAAACCTTCCCATCCTGGGTGTCCCCAGCCAGCCAGCAAAGTGACACAAAGATTCCTGGCAGTGCTGGCTTTGAGTACTTTGAAACAAACCCCCACTGCTCTGGGGGGAAGGGACAGGGTGGACTGAGGTTCAGATTTACTTTTCTGGGGCTGCAGAACTAGTGGATTTTGTGGACCTGCTTAGCCTATTGGTTTCTAATCAAAAACCTGAACCACTCAGCCCTGATCTTAGCAGTGTCAGAGGGCCGGGGAAACTAGTAAATAATCCCAGTGGCCAGGCCTGATGACACCTGCCCCACAGAATTCACAAAGCAAACCTGGCTCCCTGAGCACAGGGGGAGTTGGGGGCTCATTGCTGAGTCATGGGGTGAAGCATCAAACCAGCCCCCTCCTGTGGGGCTGTGAGTGTTGCTGTCCCTACTGTACAGACAGGGCCATGGAGGCAGGGGAGATTCACTGAACAGGCCAAGGTCACTCAGTGAGTTAGAGCCAAGATCTGCCCCCAGCTCCCTGCCCCACCCACCGACGTGCTGACTCCCTCTCTGTCATGGGGCTGTTTGCATTGGCCTCTTCTCTCTGGAAAGGCTAGTGTAGGTCATCAAAGAGGACTATTTTATGTCCCCCTGGTGGTCTAGTGGTTAGGGTCTAGCACTCTCAGTGCGGTGGCTTGGGTTTGATTCCCACTCAGGGAAGCCTCCTGTAACTTTCACAAAACACATTTGTAGTCAATTTTCTTGCCACATGTTACAGCAGCTGAGACCCAAGAGGTTAACTCAGGGCCCCTTTCCCACCTCTCCTTCACTGCTAAAAAAAAGGGTCTAATGGTGCCAGCAGCCTTTCAAAACAGCCCCCAGCCCTTCCCTCCCCCTTGGCAGCAATATCCGTGCCCCAGATGGCCCCGGGCCTCATACACAGGTGGGGGGTCCTAGCACCCAATCCCACCTACCCCGAACACGTCCTGTCCGGTTCCAAGAAACCAGCCACAGATCCCTGGTCAATTTACCCTCTGGACCTTACCCACAAATCACGCTGGGCCAATCCTTTAGAATCTATATCTAAAGGTTTATTATCACAAGAAAGAAAAGCATGAGAGTAAGGTTGTTAAAG